GAATAATACCGGGATGGTCGCTCTCGAGGTTTCTTTTCGAGTATCGCGTATAATGAGTGCGAGGGTAAGAGCGAGGCTTTAAACGTAGGTGGCTCATGCAGTGCAACATAGTGTGTTTGCACACTCACGGCCAGGCGCATGTGAGAAACGTATCCCATACGATCGTTGTGAATCTCCGGGCTTAACGCGAGCCAAGCGCTCGTTCTCACGATCCGAGCCTCGCCTGTGTGCCAGTGCGCGCGCGATAGGGATCGGCGCGGTATCGCCGTCGCATATGAACTCGGCGTCTCTACGAAGCATAATGGAATACTCCGCGTTGCGTGGCCGCCCTGGGTTTCGAATACGCGTCTATAATGTATGTACTTAGATTATGCACAGACGTTAATTGTGTCGCGCGTAGCCGGAGGGGGGGGAAGGAAAGGCGGTTACATGGGTTATTCCCGTCCGACCGCGCGGTGAAAAACTGCCTCTGGTTAGCATTAATGCATGTTAATTGCGGTCAGATAATGCACGGTATGAATTTTAATTTTACCGATGCCTGTTAAAAGTAAAGGGGCAAGTAGAGATGCAAGCGTTCTTTTTCCCTTACATGAATGGTAACCGGAGGGTAACGCATGAATTATAAATCAGTTTTTTTTCTTATCACGCTCGTTTCCATATCAGCATTATATTATATGAATTATGAACGGCAGTTCTCGCTCTCTCTTTTGATCGCTCCTGAGAGTCGTTTTCAGACGGAGTTAAGTCGGCCTATAAATTGTGTAACATTAACAGCTTGAAACTGGGGTAACTCCGTGGAGTTTTGCGCTTTAAAGGTAACATTAAGTCAATCGCTATTCATCTCATTCCGACTGTTAATATTTGTGCACGAGAAGAAGTATTTTACTTTCGCGATTTCTTATCACGGAGAAAAAATTGATTTATCATTCGCGCGTTACACTTTCCGACTGCTATTCGTGAAAAAAAGACCTTTAGACTTCTGCAGTCCGATATATTCGCGTAGTCAAATAAAGTATTTTCGTAATTGCTACTTGATAAATCAGAGATTTCGACAAAGAAGAGGTTCTTTCGGGATTATCGAATGAGCGACGTCAAACTTCCTCCCGATACTTTCCTATTTCTACGCACGAGCATTACGTCGTTCGTTTTTCACGAGGGAACAAAGGAGTCGCGAGCCACGTGCTGCGAAGTGAGATTCGATTTACGTGACACCTCCCGCGAGCAAAGTTCCATACTCCGGAATCGATACCGTTGTCTGCTAAAAGTAATCCTTCTTCCATAAGATTTCGAGACTCGCTCGTGCTTGCTAACAGTATTTTATTGTTTGGCAGGATCAAAAATTTGAACTGTTTGTTTTTAAATATTCTGATAATGTATTGTACAATACTTTTAAATCAAATTTATATTACTTTTGACAAGTATCAATGCGAATGCGTCATGTAATTCACCGGTCTTAGACATTATAGTGTGGCGAACGAAGCACGCCCTTACGACTCGAATCGGATTGCTGATTATTCGGAGCAGGGGTAATGGGACACGTAATAACATCTGCGGGGGTCACATAACGATCGACATGTCATCGCTTAATGGATCTAACGACAGAGACGGAAATAAATGAGAGCTGAATAAAGTCGGTAAGGAAAAACGATACATGTCACGCTGAAGAACTCAAAAGCTCAAGAACTAAGAAGGAAAAATTGGGTGTCGAGAAAAATAAGTAATAAAGAGAATCTGAAACAATATGTCATTATGATAGGGAACAAAGGGAATCTTTTAGTAGCGAGATAATGATTCTAACGCAACAGTTTCAAGATGAAAGTTACACCTAGAGAGAAAGACAGAGAAGACATTAAACAAGAAATATATTTAAGTAAAGTTAAATATTTTACCCAAGTCTCTAATATCCCGTGTGTTCTCTGAGAATGCAGCAGCGTTGTCGCGGAAGAAGAAAATGAAACAGTCGCTGAAAGTTTTCCATTGCTGCGGAGAATGTTTAAATTATCCAAGTGTGTCTCGGGGTTGAAATGCGGCTCTTTCCGCTCGACCTATATTATAAAAGTATACGCCGGAATGATTTGATTATTGAAAGGCTATATTTTGGCGTGAAAAGAATCCATTGGCAGCATTAGCGTTTATTATGCGTCGGCGAAACCGATCGCTTTTTTCTTCGCAGACACTTCTTGTTGTCGCGAGTCGACAAACATGTTTAAATAGCGACGGAAACTTTATTCTGGGAACCAGGTGACATGACCACCCGAGCGCGACGGAATAAATGGAAGCGCGCAAATACGGCAAGACCGCGCGCGGTCCAGACAACAAAAGTGGATAAGGAATAAATAAAATGCGCGAAAAGGCGAGGAAAGAGAGATGGAAAGCGCGGTGAGGAATTGCGAACGCAAAAGCAACTTGATTCGGCGGACGGAGACCGGGGCAGACAGACAGAAAGTGCGAGAAGGAGAGCAGATGTCGGAGAGAGCGTAGAGCTGCGCGGGGGATGAGAGCGAGAGAGGGTGCGAGTTTATAGAGATGGAGGAGGGTAGCGCGGGAGGGGGTGCAGACGCGCCACGACAAGGGTAAATGTACGTACGAATGCACCCCGGATTGGCTTCGGGATGGTTTCCATGGAGACCAATTCGCTCGGCCCGGGGAAGTAGTCGCCGCCGCCGCCGCCGCCGCCGCCGCCGCCGTCGCTACCACCGTTGCTGTTACTACCGTCACCGACGCAACTCTCCCCGGAAAATCGTGCTGCTTCTAAACGCCAAAAAGTTGGAAATGACGAGTCCGCTTATTATCCGCGGAAATTCTCGCGCGCGAGAACTCCGTCTGCCGGCGATCCGCGGCGGAGAAACAAAATCGTCAGCGAGTCTACTTCGACGTAAAATTATCCCGTCGCAATTAAATTTGAGTGAAATACTTATTACGGTAGGATTAATTTCGGTCCCGCTAATGAATGAATCGCATTACATTTTGCAACGGTGAATGGCGAAACAATTTTGTCTTTTGATATTTTCAGAGATGTTTTTCAGATTATTATAATGAGCTGAAAAGGTGGAATTTTGTTTACTAGGAATTTAAAATATGAGTGGAAAAGGAGTATTTTTTCCTGTATTTTATGGAATATCTGTATCATAGCAAAATTTACAGTTCCTTTGATATCAATTTCTCATTAAGCGTACCTTAGACTTGCGTGTGTGAAATTTACGCGAGAAAGTCGACACGACTATGAAAAATATAGAATCCTCATAGCACGGCGATGAGACCCTTGAGAAGGAATTTGCGGCGCCAACATCGCGACGTCGATAATTTTGTACTTAGTAAAATGCGGCGACATCGCCGCTACTTGGAACCCGAAGTAAGCGAAAATTCATGATTGTCGGGATATAATTCTCAGACAAAATCGATATCTTACAGCGATGATCATCGGGAATAAAAGGTTTTAATTGGAAAATTGCACTGTCCAATAAATTTTATGTAAAATATTTCCTGACAGAGTTTTTAAACATAATATTTATAAATGACAAAATATACTTACTAAATATCAAAGAATTTTTAGAATTGAACAAAAAATCTGAAAACGAATAAAATAAAAGTATCTGATATTTAATCATTAAATTATATTATAGGCAAAATTTAAAAAATACGTGATAAGTAATGGATTACTTTTCAATTTATTTAGAGCACATTTCAACAAAAATTCAATTTAAGATCTAATCGGAAAAGTAAGTTAAAGTCACGTTTTGCGGAAAATATCACGGCAGGATTTTCTGACAGACGGCAAATTGCATGAAGGGGATAGAGTTACACTACTTACCGATACGTACTTTACCTTGGCATAGTCTGCGCAGCGAGATGTACACTTTTTCTCAAACAAGACAAGGTATAAACTTTCCTCGTTCGTACAAACTGTAAGTTTGAAGTTTGCAAATTGAGCGGTTGCTTGAGGGACGATAGGATTACAGAGTGCAGTTTGCGCGCACTGAGCACCGTCGCTTCTAATAAAATAGTTCCCTTTAGGCTAGTTGTCGTTCACTGCGCGAATGCGTTTTGATTACATGCGTGAAATAGCGCTAAGTAATCCCGGTATAATTTCGCCGACGTTGCGATCTGTTCGCTGGCCATCTGTCACGATCGTGCAGTACGGAGCGGAGCGGAGTGAAGCGGGGTATAATCGAGTACGAGAAGGGGGGAGAGCCATCCCTCCTTGCTTGGTAAGGAACTTCCTCAATTTAACGCGATACGTTCCAAACTTCTTTCGGGGGATGAAAGCCCGTGACGAGGCTACAAGCACGAAAAATATTTTCCTCCCCACAGAAGCAACAACGTACTTTCAGCAAGCTGGCAGTAAATTCACTCACGCGTTTAACGATATTTGCGCTAATATTATGGCAATAGAGAGACGGCAGTCGAGCGAATATTATTCTCGGTTGATATTTAACTTTTATTAAAAATAGAGTAATCTTCAATTATGCAACTTAGCATTTTGCAGCGATACATTAATATTAATAGCTGTTGTTACAACGCGAGAAGCACGGAGATGTACGACGCTGACGATTTAATGATCTACGACAGACATAATTTTGTGCTTGTAAATGTGCATGAGCATCATAATATACAAGGTCTGATGCATAATTTCGCCGATAAAGCTTACGTTTGCGAATTGCTGCAAAGAGAGATTCGTGAATCTGCCGACTGTAATTGTCAATTGTTTTTGCGATCTCATTATCAAGAACAACAGTATTCGATTCTCACTGGGAGTCAAATCGTACCACAGAGATTCGTATGCCGCGTCGCCGATCATTTTACTCTGGAAATCGGAACAGAAATTCGAAACGCGGAGAGCGGAAGGGGTGAAATTAGAAGGAACATGTGATAAAGTCGAAGCAGCGATTGCCCACCTTTATACTTAGATATTCGCCGGCGTAGCAGAAAATAAACGCTTCTAAATTGATGACGATATAAAACAAGAGGGTTCTCAATAGCATAGAGGAGCCATCATCGGCGCCAATTGACTGTAATATTGGAATTATATTAATGCGCGCAATCAGGTTTATTCTATTACATTTCAATTTGCATTATATATGGAGAGATGTCAAAAAATCATAGACTATTAAAAATTCAAAATGTAAAAGATGATAACGTCGTTTATAGGATAGCTTGATTTACATATGTTCGCAATATATTATCGAAATAAATCGGAAATTTGACTATTAATTAATATTGATCTATATAATGAAAGCTGTTGCGATTACTTACATTCACGATGATGAAGCCCAAACAACAAATAACGATGGTGTTCGATATGAATTGCGCCAATGCAATATACGAGTACAAGCTCTCGATTCTCTCCGTGAAAATAATGATATTTTGATGCCTTCGAATTAAAGAGCCTATCGTGACCATAGACACAGTCGGTTTTTTATCCTTTGGTAAAATTTCTAATAATCTGTCACGCAGAATGTCTATCTGACCACCTACGTGAAGCACCTGGAAATTCAATCCTCGTACGTGACAGTTTTGCACTGACAGCACATTTTCAAATTTTTTACTAGAATAGTTTTCAATGAATTTCAAACTTATTTATATATTTAGAATATTGCAGACAAGAATAAATAATCTTACTATAAAAAGCATGTTTATTAACATCATGCAATATTAATATTAGTTTAGAAGAGATAGATAAAACATTCAACATCGAACTTTGTTGAATATACGATTTGATAAAAAAACAATTGATTTAAAAAAATTTTTTTATTTGATAGAACTTTCCATCTGCTTTGTTAAAAAAGTAAAGAAATGTAATTTTTTGCGTATCAGGCCGTAAGATACTATATGTCAAATTTCGAGAAATTAGAATTATTTTACTAAAATGCGTCGTTATTTTTGGTCAAACAGTGTAATTGCAAAAAAATTAGTAATTAATTTTCTAAGTTATTTCTTTTCTTTATTTTTCCCGAATAAAATATTATGAACAATTTCAACGATCATGGAACGGAACAACCCCTCGGGATAAATCCCCGGAGGTAATCTTGTACGGGGAATTCGAAAATCCCTCAGGGAGTGGCAGCTCCCGAGGTCCCAACTCACCAGCGTAACGAGCAGAGCGCTGAGCACGCCGATCATGGTGGCGGCTGTCATCTGATGAAGGAACTGCGTGGTCATGACAAGCTCGTAAGTCGGCGATGTGCCGCTGTCGAAGGGTAATTCCATCTTGAGAAAGAGCTCGCGATCGGCGGGGTCGCTACGCAGAGCGACGACGCCGATACAGTAGACGAGCACGGCCGTCGAGTGCAGACCGATGATCAAATTGGAGAAACGATGGGACAGATTAGCCACGCCGCTCATGCTGCACAGGGCGTCGCCGGCGTTCCCGCATTCTTTCCAGTCCGCCGCGATGCTCGCTACCACGTCGCTGAATACTCTAGGAAGAATCGATTTCGTGGAGCACCGCGTTCCTCCTCGATGACTACGATTAGGAAACTATTTATCTGTATGCGGTGATAAATGATGGCGAGGGCGGGCATATCAACATGCGAACACAGATATCGGGATCATCGTTATTAATAGCGATACTTTGGTGTAATAATGATTGCGATAAAAAAGAGCGATGGAGTGGCAACTGTGTTAAAATACATTATTCATAAGTCGTTTATTTTGCGTGACGAGAAAAAAAATTTTCTAAATATACATATATTATATTTAAATAATAATTTTTGAGTGCTTGCAAAGTTCTCTTACTGATGAATGCAATTAATTTTCCAATTATTTAATTTCGCTATCTGCGATGATAATTACGGATGCACACTTCGTATTACCGAATATTCAATTTTCATGATTCGACGAAATGCGAAAGACAATCTCCAACGACATACCGTTGTTTCGTCCAGAAAACAATCAACTTGACACACAACAAACTGTACGACAGCGTCGCGCTCAGGCCATCCATCAGTCGCGACAAATCCTCAGAATTGAGGTGCACCACCACGTGGCGATATTGAAAAATCTGCGCGGTCAGCATCGTCGCGGTCCAGAAGAGTCGACTGATAATTGCGTAAGACGCGCTTGGCCAGATGCCAACGACTCGAAGTCCGATCTCGACCGAGCGGGTAATCGTGTTTGCGGACATCATTAGACAGCGTAACTTTAACATGTGACGCGAATACACTGCATCTTGACTAACGACGCGAAGCTAACGAGGAGTGTGTAAGCTATGTGATTCTCTTTGAAATTTCTTTCCTCGGAGAAGGGAAGGACTTATCACTCCGAGATAAATTTTTAAATTAACACTTCAAGAAACAATCAATAATTTCCTTTTTTTAAAAACAGCTTATCAACATTGCCGAAAATGAATTAATTGAGAATAAGGGAAAAGATGCTAGCGCGTCACCAGTCAAGAGGCACGTTAATGACATTGACGAACAACGCTCTCGGACACTTGATCGAGGCGCACGGAAGGCACGTCAACGTCGAGTACGAACGGATCTATGGACGGAAACGAGAGACGCGCACCTGTAGACGCTACGGATAGACTGAAGGATGCGGAGGGTCACTTGCCGGGAGCCCTACCTTCGTCCACTGTCGACCGGGCAGGGGGCACGGCTCATTAAATATTTTCATCGTTTCACGTAAGACAAAGTTGCAGCGCGCGCGTTGTCGGCGATTGCCGGATTTTGCGGATGGAAGGGAAATCGTGGGGCCGCCCTTCCGCCTTGAGCGTGCACGCGGTGCCGTGCAATTTCCGATTAAAAATGTACGATCTCTCTCGCAGGACAGACGGTCGACGTGTAGCGCGGACTTATAGTCCGTTGAAAAATCATGCGCAATGATCCGAGGAAAATAAAGAAGTATCGAGGGGTCGCGTCGAGGAGGAAGGAGAAAATCGCCGAAGGATTTGTAGAAATGAGGGATATACTGATATTTTACCGTGATATAGTTTTTCGACCACATTTTGATATTATTCTTTGTACACTATCTTATTGAATCATTTTTCTATTACCTCGAAGGATGCATTCGGAAAAATATGATGCATTATAATGTGCGCTTGTCTAATTAGTGGTTTACACATTACATACTTTACGTCAGATGAGAGTCGACGAGATGAATTTTTTGGTGTTTATTGCATCGCCAGCAGCACTGATAAGTATGATGCCGCAGAATTCATGATCTATAACAATAATACATATGTATATTATATAACCAGCAATTATCTCTTATGTGTGAGCAAATCTTACACTTGCGAAGCATCGCAACGAGAGATCTGTCATCTTTCCAACTGTTAGTGTCAGTTGCTTTTGTGATCTTAGTAGTATAAATAACAGTACACGACTTTGCTTAGGTGCCAAATCGTACCACTGACAATTATATGCAGCGAGTCCGATTGCCCTGCTCTACAAAGGTAAAAATAGTCATATTATTTTATAATAAATTTTTCGTATTTTGTTGCAATTTTCTTTTACGATTTAATGATGATAGAATTATTTGTCAGATATTCAACATTATAAACAACGCTAACCTTATTGATCAAATATTCTCCGGCATAACAGAATATGAACGCTTCGATATTTGTTACGCTATAGTACGAAAGAGATCTCACTATTTTCCCCGTCGCTCCGGGACTACCGAGCGCCTGCAATGTATCGAAACGTCAATGCATCGAATAATTTGAATGCGAACTCATGAATAATTGTTTTTATCAGCGCGATATTTATAACATATTTAATGAAACAAGAAATTAACACGCACGCATAACAAAAATAGGCAATTAACTTAATAATTAATTTTGCACAAACATTTAATTCTATTGATTACATTTAATATTGACCGTTACTCACTGTTACAACCAGAAATCCTAATAAACAAATCATCACCGTGTTAGATGCAAATTGCAACAGTGCAATGATTGAATACAGATTCTTAACATTTTCCGAGAAGTAAATAATTTTCTGATGCTTTCGAATGATTTTATTCGTTGCAATAACGAAGGATTCGCGTTTGTTTTCATTGGTTTCAGGCTGAAGTTTCGTGATCCAGCCACGCAAAATGTTTATTTGGCCACCTGTATGTAGAACCTAAAAAGAAAACTCGCCGCCTATAAAAACGAAGATTTATGTTCTAGCAGTAAAATTGAAAAAGAAAATAATTATGATTAATGAATTTGGCAAAATATTCAGATACCGACATATTTGACAAAAAAATGTGGCAATTAATTTTTTATCAATTGCTTTCAAATACAGAGGCATTTCCATCTATTTTTACTAAGATTGCACATTATGTATTAATTGTTTACATATATTTCTTACTTACCAAAGTTAACAGCAAAATGTTTGGTATGTTGATTCCCACGCCAGCCGCGAGCATGTACATTACTTCCGTAATTAATACAATTTTGTACGTGCGTTGTGTGTTTATGTCGAAAGGAACTTCCATTTTGTGAAGGTGAGGTAGCTCGATTGTGCGATTGGTCACATCGACATCAGCCAGGATGATACTGGTGCCGTATGAGAGCAGGGCGAACGAGTGAAAAGCGATGAGGGCATTAGTGACATAATCCGATGTCTTTGCTTTGTCTGCTGTCTCGCGCATTTCGATATCGTTGTTAGAGCAGTCGCTCCAATCTTCCGTCATCATCGTCAAAATTTTACCGAATATTCTATGTACGATTACATCTTTACTTTACAAAATTATACAAACGATGCGAGAGAAAAGGGGCGTATAAAAGATATCGTATTGCCAATATTACAATATTAGATAGAATATAATAATTTGTTCGTTTAATAGATGCACACGAAGCGTCCACGTTCTAGCAAGCAAACAGTTTACAATTTATGGCTTTTGTTTATCGCTATAGAAGTTCTTTGCCTATTGTTTACTTCATCAGTTATGCACCGTATCGCATTACTTACCGCTGATTCAGCCAAAAGCAAACGAACTTAGTGAATAGTTTCCAGTATCCTAGGAAGCTACTAAACCATTCCGTGAAGTCAAACATGTCGATAGAGTGGTAATGTGTTAGAAAATATCGATAATGCCAAAATTGAACGATTGCTATTGTAATGCTCCAAAATATTCTGCAGAACGTGACGCACGACGCATCCGGCCAGACACCAAGCGAGATGAGCATGAATTTCACTACACGATTAACAGTATTCTTACGGCCTACAACGTTATATTTCTTTTCTGTTGCGTTCATGGTGTACGTATTACGTTTATATATTGGAAAAGGTACACTTGAAAAAGTGCAATACAAAAAAAGTAAAAGATTTTATGTCGCAATGTATTTGTCACTGACAGATCGATGTTATATCATGAAATATCTGCGTGAAGACTGGGAGGTCGGAAGAGGTCATCAGACGGGTGTACCCCTGGGCGAGCGACCAATAGAAGCTACTCATTAAATATTTTCATCGTTTCACGTAAGACAAAGTTGCAGCGCGCGCGTTGTCGGCGATTGCCGGATTTTGCGGATGGAAGGGAAATCGTGGGGCCGCCCTTCCGCCTCGAGCGTGCACGCGGTGCCGTGCAATTTTCGATTAAAAATGTATGATCTTTCTCGCAGGACAGAAGGTCGACGTGTAGCGCGGACTTATAGTCCGTTGAAAAATCATGCGCAATGATCCGAGAAAAATAAAGAAGTATCGAGGGATCGCGTCGAGGAGGAAGGAGAAAATCGCCGAAGAATTTGTAGAAATGAGAGATATACTGATATTTTATCGTGATATAGTTTTTCGACCACATTTTGATATCTTCTCTGTACACTATCTTATTAAATTATTTTCTATTACTTCGAAGGATGCATTCGGAAAAATGACGTTATAATATGCGCTTGTTTAATTAGTGATTTACACATTACATACTTTACGTCAGATGAGAGTCGACGAGATGAATTTTTTGGTGTTTATTGCATCGCCAGCAGCACTGATAAGTATGATGCCGCAGAATTCATGATCTATAACAATAATACATATGTATATTATATAACCAGCAATTATCTCTTATGTGTGAGCGAATCTTACACTTGCGAAGCATCGCAACGAGAGATCTGTCATCTTTCCAACTGTTAGTGTCAATTGCTTTTGTGATCTTAGTATTATAAATAACAGTACACGACTTTGCTTAGGTGCCAAATCATACCACTGACAATTATATGCAGCGAGTCCGATTGCCCTGCTCTACAAAAGTAAAAATAGTCATATTATTTTATAATAAATTTTTCGTATTTTGTTGCAATTCTCTTTTACGATTTAATGATGATAGAATTATTTGTCAGGCATTCAACATTATAAACAACGTTAACCTTATTGATCAAATATTCTCCAGCATAACAGAATATGAACGCTTCCATATTTGTTACGCTATAGTACGAAAGAGATCTCACTATTTTCCCCGTCGCTCCGGGACTACCGAGCGCCTGCAATGTATCGAAACGTCAATGCAACGAATAATTTGAATGCGAACTCATGAATAATTGTTTTTATTAGCGCGATATTTATAACATATTTAATGAAACAAGAAATTAACACGCACGCATAACGAAAATAGGCAATTAACTTAATAATTAATTTTGCACAAACATTTAATTTTATTGATTACATTTAATATTGACCGTTACTCACTGTTACAACCAGAAATCCTAATAAACAAATCATCACCGTGTTAGATGCAAATTGCGACAGTGCAATAATTGAATACAGATTCTCAACATTTTCCGAAAAGTAAATGATTTTCTGATGCTTTCGAATGATTTTATTCGTTGTAATAACGAAGGATTCGCGTTTGTTTTCATTGGTTTCAGGCTGAAGTTTCGTGATCCAGTTACGCAAAATGTTTATTTGACCACCTGTATGTAGAACCTAAAAAGAAAACTCGCCGCCTATAAAAACGAAGATTTATGTCCTAGCAGTAAAATTGAAAAAGAAAATAATTATGATTAATGAATTTGGCAAAATATAGACAGATACCGACATATTTGACAAAAAAATGTGGCAATTAATTTTTTATCAATTGCTTCCAAATACGGAGACATTTCCATCCATTTTTACTAAGATTGCACGTTGTGTATTAATTGTTTACATATATTTCTTACTTACCATAGTTAACAGCAAAATGTTTGGTATGCTGATTCCCACGCCAGCCGCGAGCATGTACATTACTTCCGTAATTAATACAATTTTGTACGTGCGTTGTGTGTTTATGTCGAAAGGAACTTCCATTTTGTGAAGGTGGGGTAGCTCGATCGTGCGATTGGTCACATCGACATCAGCCAGGATGATACTGGTGCCGTATGAGAGCACGGCGAACGAGTGAAAAGCGATGAGGGCATTAGTGATATAATCTGATGTCTTTGCTTTGTCTGCTGTCTCGCGCATTTCGATATCATTGTTAGAGCAGTCGCTCCAATCTTCCGTCATCATCGTCAAAATTTTATCGAATATTCTATGTACGATTACATATTTACTTTACAAAATTATACAAACGATGCGAGAGAAAAGGGGCGCATAAAAAATATCGTATTTCCAATATTACAATATTAGATAGAATATAATAATTTGTTCGTTTAATAGATGCACACGAAGCGTCCACGTTCTAGCAAGCAAACAGTTTACAATTTATGGTTTCTGTTTATCGCTATAGAAGTTCTTTGCCTATTGTTTACTTCATCAGTTATGCACCGTATCGCATTACTTACCGCTGATTCAGCCAAAAGCAAACGAACTTAGTGAATAGTTTCCAGTATCCTAGGAAGCTACTAAACCATTCCGTGAAGTCAAACATGTCGATAGAATGGTAATGTGTTAGAAAATATCGATAATGCCAAAATTGAACGATTGCTATTGTAATGCTCCAAAATATTCTGCAGAACCTGACGCACGACGCATCCGGCCAGACACCAAGCGAGATGAGCATGAATTTCATTACACGATTAACAGTATTCTTACGGCCTACAACGTTATATTTCTTTTCTATCGCGTTCATGGTGTATGTATTACGTTTATATATTGAAAAAGGTACACTTGAAAAAGTGCAATACAAAAAACAGTAAAAGATTTTATGTTGCAATGTATTTGTCACTGACAGATCGATGTTATATCATGAAATATCTGCGTGAAGACTGGGAGATCGGAAGAGGTCATCAGACGGGTGTACCCCTGGGCGAGCGACCAATAGAAGCTACTCATTAAATATTTTCATTGTTTCACGTAAGACAAAGTTGCAGCGCGCGCGTTGTCGGCGATTGCCGGATTTTGCGGATGGAAGGGAAATCGTGGGGCCGCCCTTCCGCCTTGAGCGTGCACGCGGTGCCGTGCAATTTTCGATTAAAAATGTACGATCTTTCTCGCAGGACAGAAGGTCGACGTGTAGCGCGGACTTATAGTCCGTTGAAAAATCATGCGCAATGATCCGAGGAAAATACAGAAGTATCGAGGGGTCGCGTCGAGGAGGAAGGAGAAAATCGCCGAAGAATTTGTAGAAATGAGAGATACACTGATATTTTACTGTGATATAGTTTTTCGACCACATTTTGATATCTTCTCTGTACACTATCTTATTGAATTATTTTTTATTACCTCGAAGGATGCATTCGGAAAATATGTTACGTTATAATATGCGTTTGTTTAATTAGTGATTTACACATTACATACTTTACGTCAGATGAGAGTCGACGAGATGAATTTTTTGGTGTTTATTGCATCGCCAGCAGCACTGATAAGTATGATGCCGCAGAATTCATGATCTATAACAATAATACATATGTATATTATATAACCAGCGATTATCTCTTATGTGTGAGCGAATCTTACACTTGCAAAGCATCGCAACGAGAGATCTGTCATCTTTCCAACTGTTAGTGTCAATTGCTTTTGTGATCTTAGTATTATAAATAACAGTACACGACTTTGCTTAGGTGCCAAATCGTACCATTGACAATTATATGCAGCGAGTCCGATTGCTCTGCTCTATAAAGGTAAAAATAGTCATATTATCTTATACTAATTTTTTCGTATTTTGTTGCAATTCTCTTTTACGATTTAATGTTGATAGAATTATTTGTCAGCTATTCAACATTACAATCAACGCTAACCTTATTGATCAAATATTCTCCGGCATAACAGAATATGAACGCTTCGATATTTGTTACGCTATAGTACGAAAGAGATCTCACTATTTTCCCCGTCGCTCCGGGACTACCGAGCGCCTGCAATGTATCGACACGTCAATGCAACGAATAAATTGAATGCGAACTTATAAATAATTGTTTTTATCAGCGCGATATTCATAACATATTTAATGAAACAAGAAATTAACACGCACGCATAACGAAAACAGGCAATTAACTTAATAATTAATTTTGAGCAAACATTTATGTCTATTTATTACATTTAATATTGACCGTCACTCACTGTTACAATCAGAAATCCTAATAAACAAATCATCACCGTGTTAGATGCAAATTGCGACAGTGCAATGATTGAATACAGATTCTCAACATGTTTTGAGAAGTAAATGATTTTCTGATGCTTTCGAATGATTTTATTCGTCGTAATAACGAAGGATTCGCGTTTGTTCTCACTTGTTTCAGGCTGAAGTTTCGTGATCCAGTTACGCAAAATGTTTATTTGGCCACCTGTATGTAAAACCTAAAAAGAAAACTCGCCGCCTATAAAAACGAAGACTTATGTTCTAGCAGTAAAATTGAAAAAGAAAATAATTATGATTAATGAATTTGGCAAAATATTTAGATATCGACATATTTAACAAAAAAATGTGGCAATTAATTTTTTATTAATTGCTTCCAAATACGGAGACATTTCCATCTATTTTTACTAAGATTGCACGTTGTGTATTAATTGTGTACATGTATTTCTTACTTACGAAAGTTAGCAGTAAAATGTTTGGTATGCTGTTTCCCACGCCAGCCGCGAGCATGTACATTATTTCCGTAATTAATACAATTTTGTACGTGCGTTGTGTGTTTATGTTGAAAGGAACTTCTATTTTGTGAATTGTTAGATCGATCGTGCGATTGGTCACATCGACATCTGCCAGGAGGACACTGGTGCCGTATAAGAGCACGGCGAGCGAGTGTAAAGCGATGAGGGCATTAGTGACATAATCCGATGTCTTTGCTTTGTCTGCTGTTGTGCGCATTTCGATATCGCTGTTAGAACAGTCGCTCCAATCTTCCGCCATCATCGTCAAAATTTTATCGAATATTCTATGTACGATTACATATTCACTTTACAAAGTTATACAAACGATGCGAGAGAAAAGGGGCGCATGAAAGATATTGGATTACCAATATTACAATATTAGATAGAATATAATAATTTGTTCGTTTAATAGATGCACACGAAGCGTCCACGTTCTAGCAAGCAAACAGTTTACAATTTATGGTTTCTGTTTATCGCTATAGAAGTTCTTTGCCTATTGTTTACTTTATTAGTTATGCACCGTATCGCATTACTTACCGCTGATTCAGCCAAAAACAAACGTACTTAGTGAATAGTTTCCAGTATCCTAGAAAGCTACTACACCATTCCATGAAGTCAAACATGTCGATAGAGTGGTAATGTGTTAGAAAATATCGATAGTGCCAAAATTGGAGGGTTGCTATTGTAATGCTCCAAAATATTCTGCAGAACGTGACGCACGACGCATCCGGCCAGATACCAAGCGAGATGAGCATGAATTTCATTACACGATTAACGGTATTTTTACGACCCACGTTACATTTTTTCTCTATCGCGTTCATGATGTACGTATTACGTTTATATACTGGAAAATATACACTTGAAAAAGTGCGATACAAAAAAAAAATAAAAGAGATTTTATGTCGCAATGTATTTGTCACTGACAGATCGATGTTATATCATGAAATATCCGCGTGAAGACTGGGAGGTCGGAAGAGGTCATCAGACGGGTGTACCCTTGGGCGAGCGACCAATAGAAGCTACTCATTAAATATTTTTATCGTGCTGCGTGCAGACCACATTTGCTTCTTTGCTCCTCCCCGCTCGGGACAAAAGGAAGGAATAAGGATTATTTCTCCCTCTTGTATCGGTGATGTGATCGCAAATTGTTTATCTTAAATATGCAACGGACTTATGCGGACGTAGGTAGGGCGACGTATATCCGATGGTAAGACAAGCCTCGAGAGCTTTCAAAAAGTTTTCAAACTTAGAAGGTAAAGGGACTTCGACGAAGAAACAGAAAACTGAATTGTGCGGCGCTACGGAAACGTTTCTGTGTACGTAATATTTACTTGGATGTGTATTTTTATATAAATATTTTTGGCAATATTTTGATTAACAATTGCATAAATCTGCTAATAAATGTAAAAATCACTTGTTTGTTATAAAATAAAACTGTAGTATATTGCATGATGTTGCATGATGTGATAGGAAACAATTTAATAGAATTCCAGTATAGGAGAGATATCTTTATTTGAGAAATATTAATCCCCTTTGGATTTGCATTATCTAAATTTAACTAGAAACATCTCTCAATTTTAGATCATAATTATGAACAATTAGACTTTATATTGTCTTGTAAATTATTCTTGTTTTAAAGAATGCAATTGAAAAAATATAACTTAATGTTTTTCTAACTGGTGATTTAATTCTTGATGTAATTCTTTGTGTGCTTAAAAAACAGAAGTATTGGTTGAAGATCGACATGGTGGATTGCTAATTATTGCATCGCCAACATCACTGATAAATATGATCCTGAAGCATTCATGATCTACAACAATGTCGCTCTTTATATTAAAGATAACTGTCTTCATAATTATAAGTAAAAAATTAGAGATAAAGTGCATGCTGTTGCAAAAAAAAAATTATGTAAACCAATAAATTCTAGAAAATGATATTTCACTACGAGCATTATTCACTAGCATTTCACAGGCGCGTCCAACTATTGTGCAAAATTATTACGTATGCTGTGCATAATTCTTACAGTTGCAAAATATTCTAAGGACAGATTCATCATCTTTCCAACAGTGAGCGATAATTGTTTTTGCGATCTTAATATTATAAATGTCAAGATTCGAGTATCTTTGGGTTTCAAATTGTACCATGTGGAATTATATGCCGCTAATCCGATCGCTTTGCTCTACGAAGGTGAAAATAAAATGAGAAAATTGTTATTATACTGATGATGCATTTTATAATATCGTTTTAAATACGGCAAATATAGAATCATCCATTATTAATGCTTCACGTCGCAAATGTCATCGCGTTGCTAACCTTGTTATTCAAATATTCTCCAGCGTAGCAGTATATAAACGCTTCGAGATTTGTTATGGTATAAAATAAAAGAGATCTTATTATCTGCTCAACCGCATCGGGTGTACCGATTGCCTGTAATATTAAAGCGACGCGCGAAAAATCGTTAGCGTGTTGGCGCCCTCATAAGTATAATCGCTTTTATTAACATATCTTATCTACGTTATAAAATGTAACGGAATTAATTAAAATAATCGCGTCTTATTATAGTAAATTCACAATATAGAGCAGCAATTATTCTTATCGCGTATACAATGTTCTAATTTTAATTCTGTACTCACGCTCACGATGAGAAATGCCAGCGAGCAAATCATTATCGTATTTGACGCGAACTGCAGTAACGCGATGTATGTGTAGAGATTCTCGATGGTTTCCGAAAATTTGATGATTTTCTGATGCTTTTGAATAATTTCATTTGCTGTGACCGATTCAGTTTTTTTCTGCGAATTCTTCTTAGGCGTGAGATTCGTTAACCAATAATGCAAAATGTCCATTTGGCCACCTACATGTAAAGTCTGAAAATAAAGATATTCCGTGACTTAATTAAAGCATTAAAATATTTTATGAGAAAAAAATCAAATCTGATGTGGGCTAAATATAAAATTTAAAGCTTTCTTCTAATTTTAATATTATACACACGCTTGGAATAATTAATTTTTTTTATATTTATTATTATTTCATTATTTTATGCATGTATATAATCGTGTTTCTGCATTTGCAATTTACCAGAGTTAAAAGCAGAGCGTTTACGGTGCCAGCAGCCAAGCCACCCGTGATACAATATATAAATTGCGTGATTAAGACCATTCTATATACTCGTTGTGTGTTCACATCAAAGGGAAGTTCCATTTTGTGGATGTAGAGTGGCTCAGACATACAATCGGTGATATCCACATCTGTCAGAATAATGCGTGTGCTATATGCAATGACGCTCATCGTGTGAAGAATGATCATCGCATTAGTAATACGATCCGATAATTTTGCTTTGCACATCGTTTCGCGCATGTTGATTTCACTGTTAGCGCAATCATTCCAATCTTCCGTCATCATCGTCAAGATTTTAACGAGTTTTCTGTGGATGATTGGTTTCGTTGATTATCCTATTGATCACAAAAAAGATTATTTCGGGTTTTTAAAAAGCAGGTCGCTTTCGAACGTAAAAGAACAGCTGCGGGGATAAACTTGCATATTGATGTTATATCGCTTAAACGAAATTTTAGCTTTTCCGCTTTTTAAGTTTCTTGTTTTGCGAAGAAGCAACACTGTCGGGCCAATTAATTAAATACGCATAAACATATAATTTAATTACTAAATGTAACCGTATCCTAGCGTGTAATTTAATTAGTAAACGCGCAATGCAATTACATAAATCAACAATTAGTTTATAGAGTCTCTTTTACTGTAAAAAAAAACATCACGTTTAAATATGATTTTTATATTATTATTTTTATTAATTCACGCTTATTACTTACCCTTGATTCAACCAAAACACAATGAACTTACTCATCACTTTTGCATAGGCTAGTAAGCTACTGAGACAGTCCATTAAATTAAAAAGATCACCGGAATAAAAGTGTGTCGATAAGTACCGATAATGGTAAAATTGACATAGTATTATCGTAACAATCCAAAATATTCTGCAAAACAGAACGCACGAAATACCTGGCAAAATTCCGTAAAAAGTAAGCATAACTTTCATTGTGCGATTAATCGTGCTTTTTCGGATCATGATTTTTTATCTTTTTTTATTTTTATTTTTCTTGCACGAATGGATACATTAAAATGTATGTAAAACAGCAAATTTGGTTAAAAAAGAATTTGAGAAATTAAAATATATATTTTCGTCAAATATATATATATATAATCTCGATGACAAGTTGATGTATATTACAGAATAGCTGGGCAAAGACTAAGCGACCCTAAGAGGTCATTGTTTCTACCCGTAGACTCGCCGACCAATGAAAACTGCTCATTAAATATTTTCATCATAGTGCGTGCAGACCACGAATACATCTGTCGTGGGTCCTGACAATTTTTATGAAAAGACGGGAACAGGTGGGGTCGTGTCTCCCTTCCTGCAGGGCCGATGATGCGGTCGCAAATTGTTTGCTTTAAATATGCAACATGTATACGTGCAGACGTAGATACGATATGTACGACGGCGGGTCGCGTCCAGCGAGCTTTGAAAATATTTTGAAGTTTAAAAGGTGCAAAGAAATAAGATAGAAAAATTGTGCGTTACTACGAAACTATATTTTCTCTCTCAATGTAATGTGTTCTGCTAACTTGATCTGAGGGAAAAATTCACAATTTTTTTTTTATGGAAATCATGACAACCATGTGTTAGTGTAACTAGTGAAGACACAATTACATAAAATACGCTCTGTATATGCTTCACGACTATTGATTAAAGGTCTTCGAGATGAATGTGATGTTCATTGCATCGCCAACAACACTGACAGATAGGATCCCGAAGCATTCATGATCTATAAGAATGTTTAGCATTAGAAGTTCTTGTATATTAGTGTGTTATTATAGTGCAAAATAGTTTAATCAAAGATTAAAACACACGTGAAAATTAATGAAGAGAATTTTATCTAGTGAGTTTCGAATAATAAACATCGTGTAAAACTGACGTTTAAAGTTTGTGTATTGTGAAATTTGTCTTACACTTGCAAAGGATTCTAAATTGAGATCCATCATCTTGCCGGCTGTAAGTGTCAATTGTTTTTGCGATCTTGATATGATGAATAACAAAACGCGACTGTCTTTAGGTTTCAAATTGTACCATGCACAACTATACGTTGCAAATTCAATTGCTTTGCTCTACGAAAATATAAATGATGAACATTTTTAACATAATGTTATTATCTTATTTATTTTTTTAATCTAAAATAGGTAAAATTATTATCTATTTGTTGTTGATTGTTATTATGAAAATAATCTTTTGTCGCTAACCTTAGTCTTCAAGTATTCTCCAGCATAACAAAATATAAATGCTTCTAAATTTGTTAATGTGAAAAATAAGACACATTTTATGATTTGTTCTGCGGCATCATCAGTACCAATTGCCTGAAGGAATTGAGAAGAATTATAATTATTTACAAATGTTTGAAAAATTGAAACTCAATTTTTAGCGAAAGTCTCTGTTCATAGTATTTGATTATTTTACTTACTGCTACAATGAGAAAACCTATTGAGCAAATTAGCATCGAGTTCGATACAAATAGTATTAATCCGATATATGTATATATATTTTCAATCATTTCCGTAAAATTGATAATTTTTTGGTGTTTCAGAATAATTTTTCTTATCGCGATAACAATTGATTGTTCTTCTCTATTTTCGATATTTTTGACTGTAAGCTGCTCTAACCAACATTGCAGAATTTCTATTTGACCTCCTACATGTAGAACCTAAAAGTGTAGTTTTGACAATTTTTTAAATTTAAATTATTTATTATTTTTAGTCACATATAAAAATTATTAGATCTTGGTAGTGAAAAAAAATATTTACATCTTGCAAATATTATTTGTAAAAATAATTTTGGCAAAATGTGCATGTTTGTGCATGAATAATAAATTTGACAAGATAGATGCATTGTTTTAACTTTTCAATAATATTTTCTTTACTTTAGAATCTTGGATATAATTCTTAAATATTTATTAGAAAGATTACAATATTTAATGATTTTTATTATTATTATTCTACAGTTTGTTATAATCGTTAATGCGGTCGTTTGGTAACTTACCAAACTTAAAAGTATAGCGTTTACAACGCCAGCTAAGCAGTTAGAAAGGATCAGATGTAGAAATTCCGACATTAACACCAATCTATACATACGCTGTGTGGTAACGCTGAAAGGAAGGTCTAATTTGTTGAAGTAAGGCAATTCGGTCGTTTGATTGGTAACATCGGCGCCGGCAGTGATCACTCCAAGGCAATACGCAACGATAGCCGTCGTGTGAAGAATGACCATTCCATTAGTAATATGAGCTGATGTTTTGGCTTTGCGTGTTATCGTGCGCATGCTGGTGTCACTGTTAGCGAAATCGGTCCAATCGTCTGTGATTAACTCCAAAATTTCCATGAGTTTTCTGTGAATGATTGCGTTTCTCAATTATGTTGTCAATTTAAGTGAAAATCGCGTCACAGAGAATTGTATCTAGAAATATGTCGCTAGCGATTGATATGAAACAGTGTTGACTTCATTTTTCTTACACAAAAAAATTTTATCCTGCATATTTCTGAAAATTTTTTTTGTTGAATAGACAACGATAAAAAAATGTATGTAAAAAATCGCACAGAAAGAAAAAGTAACTGTTGAATGACGGATATTACGCATTCGCTGCAAATAATTTATCTCGCATTTTAATTAAAGAGCAAATGAATTAAGTATTATTTAAATATATTTTAATTTTTGTAAATTGTCTACAGTGCCGCAAATGCAATACTCGATTTACTTACTGTTCGTTTATCCAAAACGCCACAACCTTAGCCATCACCTTTACGTGTGCCAAAAAGCTAGATAGACAATCAATCAAGTTAAAGAAATTCTCAGGCGTTAGGTGCGTTAAAAAATAGCGGAAATGACAGTATTTGATGAATGCTAAGGTTACGATCCAAAATACTCTGCTGATTGTTACGCACAATCTGTTAGACGAGACACCAAACAGGGGAAACAGAAGAAATACCGTGCGATTGATCGTACTTTTACGCGTCATAGTTTTTTATTTCTCTCTGCACTTTGTTCGCATACAAGCAGAGCGCATCGAAAAATATATGAATGTGTACAAAAAATATAAGATCAAGCACTTTCGGAAAGGTAGAAGAAAAGTACGCTGTTGCTAAATTTATCTTCCAATGACAACACGATGTATATCATTGGATACTCGCGTGAAAACTGAGGAGATGGTAGGGGATTCTTCAAAAGGTGTACTCTTAAGCAATCGACCAATAAGAAGTGCTCATAAAATATTTTTATCGCGGTGCGTGTAGACCTCAAATACATTCGTCATGTTCACTTTTGCAGGTTTGACAAAATAAAAAAAAAAGCAGACTAAAGAGAATACGTAAAATGATTTTCCTACGCTTTGGCCACTGGCGATACACTCTTTCATGCAATCATGAAGTATATGCGTTAAATACGTAATGACTTGTACGAAGGGACAAATATATTCGTTCAGACGAGAGAAATTTCTTGATTTTTATACATTATAGTCGGTTCTCTCTCTCTAGAAACTTATTGAGGAATTTATATAACATTTATATAAGAAATACTGACGGCAGTGTATCGGCAATACATTGGTGATGTAACGGTATCATTGATTTTATCTTTCTAGCATTGTATTGTATTATTATTATTATTTAAAATTAATTTGTTTATTGTGATGCACGACTGTGATACACAAGTCTTTGAAGAAACATAAGTATTTATTTATTTATTTTTATATTGTACGGAAAATCCATTAAAATAGTATTAATGTGCGTTTGCTATTATGTGGTGCTTTCTGAGGATAGATATATAATATATAGATATATTATTTTATATTTATATTTGGAAAAATATGCTGTATAATATGCGTTTCTATAACTAGTGGCTCACGATACTTCTTTTCACTATTAAAATTTCGACGACGAAATTGTTTATTGCATCGCCAATAGCATTGACAAATATGATCCCGAAGCATTGATGATCTAAAATAATGTTGCTTTTTACATTAATATTTGTCTATAATTAAAATATTAAAAAATGTGCTCTGAATATTGAAATAAAATGTCTACACATGAAACATCTTACACTTGTGAAGGATTCTAAAGAGAGATCCATCATCTTTCCAGCTGTAAGCATCAATTGCTTCTGTGATCTTTTCATAATAAATAGCAGAACACGACTGTCTTTAGGTTTTAAATTGTACCACGGAGTATCATACACTGCAAGACTAACTGCATTACTCTACGAAGATGAAAATAACGCAAAGATTTTTAATGTTTATAGTTTATATTTTGTATAGTAATTTTTGATTAGTAAGAGAAAACTTTTAGGATTATCCATCTTTCATTGTGCAGGATTATCAATTGTTTATTAGCATTATAATTATTTTTTTGCTAACCTTGTTCTTTAAATATTCTCCAGCATAGCAAAATATAAATGCTTCAAGACTTGTTATAACGTAAAATAAAATTGATCTTATTATTACCTCTATCGCATTAGGACTACCTATTGCCTGCAATATCATCCAGAAACGGCATACACAAAAAGTTATTCAATAGATAAAATCAACAAAAATTTATAAATATAAAATTTATGCGAATTTAATACATCAGAGATTGTATTAAATTTATATAAATAATAATTTATATTTATAATTAATAAATTAATAATTAATTTTAATTTTGAGTAATAATTAATTCTTTAATGTATAAAAAAAAATTAAAACTCATCTACTGCATATTTTGTTTGTAATAATCTTCAAGACAATTGTTTAATCTTTAGAAAAATCTTAATGCTATCTATAGCAAAAGTATTTAATTTAAATATATTTAAATTATCTTTGTGTTATTTGAGTTTTTGCATATCTTTATTATTGAGTTATGCGTCCAAGTTGAAGAGAAATTAATGTTTTATTATATTTATATTTTATCACTTGCAATTAATTGAAGAATTACAATATCTTCATTTTTAACAATCTTACAAACGATTGTCATTACTTTTTAACAATTTTACTCACCGTTACGATGAGGAAACCTAATGTACAAATCATTATCGTGTTTGATGTAAATTGCAACAACGCAATATATGTATAAAGACTTTCGATTTTTTCCGCAAAATGGATAATTTTTTGATGCTTCTGAATAATTTTATCCGTTGTAGGGACGATTGATTTGTGTTTATTTTCATTTTCATAAGGCACAAGTTGCGTCAACCAATAACACAAAATTTCGAATTGGCCACCCGCATGCAAGGTCTGAAAAATGTTTATTGTAAATTATAAAATTATAAAAGTATATAACATAACAAATCGCATAACATAAATATTTAATTTTTGCATTTATTTGTTCGAAGTTAAAACGCATGCAATTTAATTATTTTATGAAAATTAAATTCATGTGATCTCTTTCATTCCAGTTATATATAATTCTACTATTACTTCTTATTGATATATTCTTAACTTACCAAACTCAATAGCAAAGCATTTGTTATACCAGCCATCCAGGCGCACAAGAGCAAATGGAAGAATTGCGTAATTAATAAAAGTCTATAAACGCGTAGCGTTTTTATATCCAATGGAATATCTATCTTGCTGAAATGTGGTAATTCTGTCGTTTGATCGGTGACATCGACATCGGCGAAAATAAGGCCGACGCAATAGGTAACTATAGTCATCGCGTGAAGAATGAAAATTCCGTTTATAATACGATCCGATATTTTCGCTTTGCTCATTGCCTTCTGCATGCTGATGTCACTATGAGCGCAATCCTTCCAATCATTCGTCATTATTGCTAAGATTTCGATGAATTTTCTGTGAATTATTGTATTTATTTGATAGAATAGATATTTTAACTTCTGCACAGAAATTTATCTTTCTAGAAATGTGTGTCATTTTTTAATAACAAAAATTATCACTGGTATGAGCGCATTAATCGAAATAATTTTGTAGGACGTTCCGACACTTTATACACTTGCAATCACCTTACTTACCGCTGATTGAACCAAAACACAAGGCATTTAACAAACACTTTTAAGAATGCCAGAAAGGAAGATAGACAGTCTATTAAATCAAAAAAATCGGCCGTATATACATGCGTCAGAAAATAGCGAAAGTGACAAAGCAGAATAATTATCGACGCAATGACCCACAACATTCTGCAGAATAGAACACATGATGCGTCTGGCCAAATACCACACAGAGTGAGTATAAATTTCCCCGTTCCGTTCAGCGTACTCTTACGAGCCATAATTTCTTATGGCTGTATATTTCTCTTTGTTCTTACGTATATAAGCAAATGTATCAAAGTGTATAATAGACGGCTAAGAAAAGCTTTTACGGAAGGGAAGAAATATGCTTTACATTTTTCAATGATAGAGAATTTCGAGATATAAAATACCGTACGAACCCACGTGAGTCTAAAAGGTCATCAAACAGCTGCACTCTTGGACAATTCTCTAATCGAAGTTCCTTATTAAATATTTTTCTCGTGCTATACGCAGAAATCACAAATGCAATATGTTTTACAAGTTTGATGCAGAGCTTAAGAAAAGAGAAATATTTAGGATCGTTTTTTTCTTTACTTCGCTCTTAAAATCGCGAATTCTGTAATTTAAATATTCAACGATTTGTGCGCAAAGGTAGATACAAGGATGTATAGTCCATAGTCAATGATGTGCGTGACCCTCCGTAAAAGTTTCGAAGTCCAGAGAGTGCACAGTCGTGCAAGGCACATAAGGGACATATTTTATATTGCATTTTCTATATGCACAACTTTATAATATTGACTTTTTGTAAAAAATGCCGCAAGTGTCGAATTTTGAATTTAATAATCTAAATAATATTGTCAAAAATACAAATACATATATGATTTAGTTTATGTGATAAAATGTAGGTATATCGATGCATAAATACATTGTTTCATATTTGTATTAAATATACTATAAAATATACTATATTAAAATTTTTTTATAGATAACTATATTGTATATTTTTATAACTAGTATTTCACGGATAATTTACGTTACTTTATAACTATAATTTAAAAATTGGCCATCTGAATGACCTATTCAACAATTTATTGCATTGCCAATAGCATTGACAGATATGATCCCGAAGCATTCATGATCTAAAATATCGTTGTCGCTTGTATTAGAAATCAATATTTATAATGAAATAATAAAATTTTAATGTCAAGATAAAAGTATATGTATAAATCTTACACTTGTAAAAGACTTTAAGGAAAGCTCCATCATTTTTCCAGCTGTGAGTGTCAATTGCTTCTGCGATCTTAATATAATAAATAACAAAACACGACTTTCTTTAGGATTTAAATCATACCATGCGGCGTTGTATGCTGCAATACCAATTTCTTTGCTCTACGAAAGTATAGAAAAATATTAAAAAAGTACAGAAATATCAGAATGTAATTGATATTTATATTTTATATATTTTTTAAATGAATTTACTTATTGCCAACCTTATTACTTAAATATTCTCCAGCGAAGCAAAATATAAATGCTTCAAGATTTGTTATAGTATAAAATAAAAGACATTTCATTATTTGCTCTGCCGCATTTGGGCTGCCGATTGCCTGCAATATCGTAGAAGCAGCATATAGAATGCAGTTTGCATATATAAATGCTTTTTATTGTATATAAAAGACAGAATTTATAAAAATTAAAAAAATAAATAGTAGGATATTAAAGAATAAAATAATATCTAATAATATTATATCGCACTATGATTATTATGACAGTTACTTAAAGAATGAAAGTATTTACTTTCTAACAATTTTACTCACCGTTACGATAAGGAAAGCTAACGAACAGATCATTATCGTATTTGACACAAATTGCAGCAACGCAATGTACGTATAAATGCTTTCGATATTTTCTGAAAAATTGATGATTTTTTGGTGTTTCTGGATAATTTTATTGGTCGTGATAGCGATTGATTCATGTTTATTCTCATTTTCACGGGGCACAAGTTGCGTCAACCAATAACGCAAGATATCGATTTGGCCAGCTGCATGTAACGTCTGAAAATAAAGATGCCGTTGCCTGTGGAATTGATTAGAACTCGTGAATGGTTGGCATTCAAGCAGTAAAAAATGCAAAATAATATTTTCAAAGTAAATATGACAAATCTAATAACATAGATGCTTTATTTAAATTTTTTGCACTTGTGTTGGGATTATAGAACGCATATTATGCATTTCCTAAACTGACAAAAATATATTTTTATTTTTATTATATTCAGCTTCGATTATTTAATTTACCAAAGTTAGTAGTAAAGAGTTTGTTATGCCAGCCGCCCAGCCGCACATAAGCATATTTACGAATTGCGCAAGTAAGACACATCTATACATGCGTAGCGTGTTTATGTTGAATGGCATTTCTAGCTTGTTGAAAAAAGGTAATTCTGTTGAGCTGTCGGTGATATCAACATCGATCAGTACAATACCGATGCAATATGCTATAATTGTCATTGTGTGAAGAGTGATAATTGCATTTGTAATGCGATCGGATATTTTCGCTTTGGATACTGTCTCGCGCATGCTGATGTCACTATTAGCGCAATCATTCCAATCTTCCGTCATCGTTGCCATGATTTTGATGAATTTTCTGTGAATAATCGTGTATCTCTCGATAATAATGCCAATTACAAGATAATTTTAGTTTTCGCGTTATGTTGTCATCTCTGAATGTTATAAATTTTTTTTGTTTTGACATTGATAAAAAATATCATATTTTTATAGAATCCATACAGAATATCATAACTATTTTTGAACAGAAATGTGTTATGACAGTTTTTTGCCTAAAGCCAACTAAATTGCATATATGAAAATATATCGTTTCAGAAAGAAAGTAATTTATGTATAGAATTTATGATAGATTAATTTGAATATAATTATAAAATTTTACAAATTCTACATTTGGTAAAAAAAAAACTATAAATAAACTATAAATAAGTTTGTTTAAAAAATATGGATTCTATTTGCCGTCGTTTGTTGCCGTTATTAATGCTGATATTTTTGAAGAGTTCTGAAACATTCTGCATGACGTTACTTACCGTTCATTTAGCCAAAACACAAAGCATTTAATAATCACTTTGGAGTATGCCAGGAAACTAGATAGACAGTCCATTAAATCCAAAATTTCGGCTGAATGCACGTGCGTCAGGAAATAGCGGCAGTGACAGAACAGAATAATTGCCGTCGCAACGATCCAAAACATTCTGCAGAATAGAACATATGATGCGCCCGGCCAAATACCACACAGAGTGAGCATAAATTTCAATGTGCGGTTGAACGTACTCTTGCGTGCCATAATTTCTTATTTCTTATTTCTTTTTGCTCTTGCTTATGCATACGAGCGAGCCCATCAAAGTGTACGTAACGGAACAAAAGCCGTCGGTAAAATAAAAGAAATATTCTTTGATGAATTGTATTTTTTGAGGTAATATGCTGTAGAATATGCTGCGAAGAAGACTGAAAGATCATGAAAGGTGCACCCTTGGACAGTTGATCATTCAAAGTCCCTCATTAAATATTTTTATCGTACCGCATGCGGAGACCACATATACATTTATTATTTTCTCACAAGTTTGATGTAAGAAAAGAAAAAATACATAGGGTCATTTTTCCCCTTCTTGTGCACTGGAAATATAACTGTGTATTGCGCAGTTTAAATATGCAATGATTCGTGCGAAGATAGATATGGCGATGTATGTCCGATCATGATCGCGACTCTTCAGAAAAGTTTCTAAAGTCTAGAGAGTGAAGAGCCGAAACGAGAATAAAGATTGTTAACTGTGTTGTCACCAAAAAGTTGACATTGTTTTGCTTTTTTAATTAAAAGTGGATTTAAGAAAATATTTGTACTGCGGAAATATAATAGAAAACTAATAAGTGTATAGATTTGTATGTGAAAGTGTTAATATTATGTTGTAATATTTTATATTATATTTTCTGAATATATACTGGCAATTTTTTTCTGACTGTGTAAGCGGCATTAATTTTTCATAACAAGTCTTTGTATTTTAAATTATTTAGTTTTTTTCTCCAACTTTTTTACGTACGATTTTTTTCGTACGATAAAAAAAGTATATAAAAAATTATGACATATAAAACGTAAAGGAATTTTATCAAACTTTTATACTTTTTATACAATAAATTTTTAGTATTAATTAAAGGAATTATTGGCATAATATAGCACGTAGTTTCTGAAATGATTATTGAGATTCGTAAAAAATTTATTAAAGTATTTTGATATAAAAAAAAACAACTTACATTTTTATATTTTTTTTTTGTAAATTTGTTATCTTCTTAGAATACATATGCTTTTTAGAAAAAATATGTTGTGTTATTAATATTTATATTTCTACTACTAGTGAAAATGTATTTGCGTTTTGGTACATACTTTATGACTATTGTATAAAAATCTTCAAACGTATTCATTGCATTGCCAGCAATACTGACAAATACGATCCCGAAGCTTTCATGATCTATAATAAAAAGTATATACTCTTTGTATCAGAGAGTATTTTTTAAATTAATTTTTTATTAGAAAGCAAATGTATTTTTATTATATAAATTACAATAAAAAATAACACAAACCAATATAAAATAAATTTATATAGAGAGAAAGAAAATTTGATATATATAGGAAGAGTATCTTGATTTACGCATACAACTACTGTTCGAATTAACTATTTTATGTGCGTATGAATCTTACACTTGTAAAGGATTCTAAAGAGAGATCCATTATTTTTCCAATTGTAAGCGTTAATTGTTTCTGCGCTCTTAATATTACGAATATCAATTTACGACTGTTTTCAGGTTTTAATTTATACCACGCGGAATTGTACGCTGCATTCCCAATGGCCTTGCTCTACAATAAGGTAGAAACAGTTGCAAATCAAAATCGACAATGTTAATTATTATTTTTTAATTTAACAATTTTATAATAATCCATTATTAATTATTGTTACAAATTATTTTGTTTCTTACCTTATTTTTTAGGTATTCTCCTGCGAAGCAGAATATAAACGCTTCTAGATTTGTTACAGTGTAAAATAAAAGAGATCTCACTATCTGTTCCGTCGCGTCGGGATTGCCAATCGCCTGAAATATTAAAGTTTAAATAGTTATTAAACGTATTTACAAAATTGTATACAAATGCTTTTGTCGACTTAACGCGCGTAAAAAATGCGCGAAAAAATAATTAAAATATAATAAAAAACTGTGAATTACGTATGCAAAAATAAAAGCACAGCGGTTAATCTGATAAAATAAAATATTTATGTGATATATATTTTCACTCACGGTTACAATGAGAAAACCCAACGAGCAAATTAACACTGTGTTTGATGTGAATTGCACTAGTGCGATATATGTATACAAATCTTCGATATGTTCTGAAAAACTGATAATTTTTTGATGCTTTTGAATGATCTTATTCGTTGTAATGACAATAGACTCGCGTCTTTCTTCGTTTTCTTTAGGCACAAGTTCATTCAACCAATTACTCAGAATATCCATTTGACCACCTACATGTAAAGTCTAAAAATTACAATTCTATTGTTTATGAAATTTATTAAAAATCCAAACGATGTGTTGCTTACAAAGTACGAAAAAATTATTACAAGACAGCATTACTTGTTTATTATTTTTATAATGATATATTATATTATTTTTATAGCGCTCATAGATTGCAACTTACCAACGCTAGAAGCAGAGAATTTAGCAAGCCGGTCCCACAGCCGGACATGATGAGGTGCACAAATTGCATTGATAAAAACAATCTATATGCTTGTTTTGTGGTTATATCGATAGGAAGTTTCACCTTTAAAAGTAGAGGTAGTTCACCCTCATGATTGGTAACATCGACATCAGCAAAAAGGATGCCAACGCTATATGCAACGATAGTCAACGTGTGAAGAGTGAACATCGCGTTAATGATACGATCTGCTAATTTAGCTTTACATGTTGTTTCATGCATGCTGACATCATTGTCAGCACAATCGTTCCAGTCTTCCGCCATCATGGTCAACAATTTCATAAACTTTCTGCAAATTGTTGGAATTATCGATCATTCTTCCGAAAAAAACAAATTATATTTGTTTGAGCTAATCAATGAACTTTGTCTCTACAGGGTAATTATACTAATTTATTTTAATAATATAATTTATTTGCGATGGAAATGTAATTAATTGTAGCAAGTGTAAACGTTTATTAGCAAAGATAAAAAAGGAAATTTAGTCGATATATATCTATTTTTGAATTTTGTCGCTTGTAACGTAACTCACATGCAGCATTACGTACCTTTCATTCATCCAAAATATAATCAACTTAATCATGAATTTCACCTGTGTTAGGAAGCTACTAAAACAATCCATCAAGTCGAATAGGTCATTAGAGTGCAAATGCATTAAAAGGTACCGGTAATGGCAGAATTCATCTGTCGCTAATGCAATGATCCAATATGCTCTGCAGATTATAACGCACGACGTGCCCGGCCAGACACCACACAAAGTAAGCATTAATTTCAACGTGCGATTAATCGTACTTTTACGCGTCATAATTTCTTATTTTTCTTTGCTTCGGAGGTTTTATGCGGAAAAAAGCATCAAACTATAGCAATAGGACAAACACTTTCAGGAAGATAAAGTATGTTTCAATGTATTTCCCCAATGACAAGCTCGAGACATGTATTCTAGAATAACTGCGTAAAGACTGGGAAGCTCTAAGAGATTATCAAATGGGCGATCCCTATAGTGATCGACCAATGAGAGACCTTCATTAAATATTTTTATGCAACATGCAATCCTCGAGCACGCTTCTCATGGCTAATCACTAGTTGTAAGAAGAGGGAGCGTGTAGGGTCATCTCTCCTTCCCTCGTATGTTCGTGATGCAACCGCGCATTGGCTAGTTTAATATGCAATGATTCGTGCGCGAATGTAAATGCGATGTACGTCCGATGTTCAGTCATACGGCAAGGTACGTCAGGAAAGTTTTGAAGTTTGAACGGGAGAGAAGCCAAAAACGGCAAAGAAATCTAAACGCGGCGTTACGGAAATATAAATTTTTTCGCGACAGTTTATTTGTGCATTTGTGAGAATATTTATGAGAAATTAACAAAGAGTGTAGATTGCATAAGTAAAAGTGAATGCGAAATGATGTAACGTGTGTTAATACGTGCAAAAATATGTTTCAGATATCAGAAAGCTGTTCTAAACAAAATGTCTTTAAATAAAAACCGTGAATGTGTAGTGTTACATCAACAAGACGAATATCACAATTGTTTTTGATATATGAAAATGGGGATAAATTATAATAATTATGAATTAAGTATTATAACGCTACATTATTATTTTATATTAGATAATTCTCAGCATTTTCTAAAAATATATATTTAAAAATATATATATATATTGTGTTTTAATGTTATCTAATTAGTGAAATATGTTCATATATGTTTATCTAATTAGTGAAATTATGTCTACATTTTATTTTCTATATGGATTATTTCATAATTGTTGATAAAAAATGACAAAATGGATACTTGTCATTTGACATTATCGACGTTTATTTCATTGCCAGCAGTACCGACAAGTACGATGCTGAAGCCCTCATAATCTATAATAATGTTACCTTTTGTATTATTGATTGCATTATATTAACATTACTTTTTGCATTATTTATAAAAAATATATGCTTAATGCAATGTCTCAATATCAATATTTTTATGATGAAACGTTTTAAATATTGATTTCAGTAATTAAAACAAATACATGCAGATATGTAACTGTGTATATGTAAAATCTTGATCTAAATAATGTTTTTTATAAATATTTATATATCTTACACTTGTGAAGGATTCGAAGGAGAGGTCCATCATCTTGCCTGCTGTAAATTTCAATTGCTTCTGCGATCTCAAAATTATAAATAATAAAATATTACTTTCTTTAGTCTTCATGTCGTACCATGCGGAATTGTACGCTGCATTTCCAACTGCTTTGCTCTGCAAAGGAGAAATAATGAAGAGATTTTTAGTATTTCTTTGTGTCATATAATATTTTTAATACTACAAAACGCAAAATTATTTACTTATTAGTCTGTTATCGTTATCATAATAA